CTCGATCGTGGTGGGGAGAAAGGTGAACATCTTCATCAACTACCAGAAACAGGGTGCAGCATCAATGTGCGAAAGCCAGAAAAATGGGAGAATGTTGATTTTTCTTTTTTCACCAGCGTCATAAACCTTTTCCTTCCCCCCAGTTCCGTTCGTTCGGCGGCAGTTTTCTGAGAGAAATAGCTAAAATTCTTGTAAATTCGTAGGATGAGGAAAGGATGTACCACGACCAGAAACGGATATACCGCCCCGCCAGCTTGGGAATGTATAGCGCAGGTGGTTGCAAAAATCCTTCTCCAATTTCGACCTAATAACCGACACATAAAATTTGCGATGATGGCGTCGAAAAAATGTTGCAAGAGAAGGTCATGTGCGCGTCATTCGCACCAAAACCTGACTAGTTTAACACGGTTTCATCTGCAATATATAGCCAATTAGCTAATGAAAATTGTGCTTGCTTGCGCTTCTCTGAACGTGGATGTAACTTCCCTTATCAGCTTGCTGCCCTGTTTGCCTTACGCGGGAGGGGGATGGAGTGGTGGCAGACTGGGAGCGCATTTCCCTAGCTCGCTGATTTCTCTTACTAGTTCTTCTTAACTTACGCGTCCCATGTTGGTGACTCCTGTACATTCTTGTCAAGTGTAAACGAACCTCAAGGCATTACACAATTTTACAAGTTTGCAGGTCCTCACCGAGAGGGGGGGGCAGGCAGTTCCCGCACTAACCCGAAGTGCCACTCCGTTTGGTAGTCGTTTGGTTGTGTATTGCTTAACATAGAAAGGGACTAAATGAATACCCTCCAATGAGGTGCGCAGTAATATCGCTACCCTTGGAGCCTCGTTCATACTTCGCAACTCGAGGAATTCCCAAATCGCGCGATGGCGACGGAGCGACCACTACTAATCATTGAACGGTGGACGTAACTGCTAACCCATTCGCATTCAGAAGAAAACTGAGACATCCACTTACCGTGCCACCCCATTGATCAGCAGTGAAGGGTGGTCGGTCCCATTATAGGGAATCGCTCAGGTTGCGAAGTATGAACGCGGCGCGACGGTCTGGTAGTCAAACAGCCCTCTCCTCAACTCGATGAAAACGAAGGGAGGCTGTGATTCGGCATCTCCTTTAACGAGAAATCGTGCCCTAGTTGGGGATGAGGCATTCCTTTCCTTTTTAACCAGCCGCGATTCGTTTTAGATTTTTCCAACCAAAACTGAACGAGTGCAGGCAGTAATTATATTCGACTCTTACTTCACCATGACACTTTTCGCCATGAAACACTACTGAACCAAAAGCTTTCGCCCTGTTCTTAACAAAAAAATTACATAGATTTCACCGCGATAACAAAAACAAGTTGTCAACAACAATAAGTACCGTATTAACAAGACTCCCGGAGTGCGTAATGAAAAGGAATCCTACTGTGACCCGAATTCTAACCCTGTTTACAGAGAAAGTAAATTCTCACTCTCATATACATGAGATCAAATGCTCTTCAACCTTGGGTAAATCGATGAAAAGTGAAAAAGATGGGTGGATGACCACCCATCGGACTCACAGACAGATTCCTTTGCTTTACGTTCAACTGCAGCCAGGTCTCTACCGTATCCTACCGTTATTTGAGGGCACAATTTTCTCTTTAAACTTTGCTTGTCGTCGTTCCATCTTTTTTCAGTGTATCCCGTGGCAGGGATTGCCAGTGTTCCCTCTTCAGCATTATACGCAGACCATTCGAAATCGGCTGGCATGGATTTCTTCATCTGGTGGGCTCGGTTCTCTTCAGGAAAATTGTTCCACCTGAATGCGTGAAGAAATACTTAGGGGCGTTTATAGGTGAAATCTTAAGCTGCGTTTATACTTTGCGTCAGTGCTTTGGGCGTAAGGCAGTTGAGCCTTTCGAGTAGTTTTGAAATTTGCGGTCGCCGAAAACGCTGGCATACGCTTCAAAACGCTGCCATACACTGGTGTACACTAAATAGATACCTATAAGTTCCTAGCCGCTCGGAACTCTCAAAACGTCGCCGTATGCTCGAAACTCTGTCATACGCTCAGAACGCCGACGCAAAGTTAAACGAGCTTAAATATGAATTGAAAAAATTGCCTTCAACGTGACGTACCTGTACAATTAGTGATCCCTCTTCACTCATGGACAAATCTGTTATCATATTGAATAGTGCCACCGGTGTGGGTAAATCTGGTATATCAAGGCGTTGGAAGAATGCCAATACGTTTTCAATATCTCTGAAAACACACTATGAAGTAAGCACGTAAGACGGTTAACAAGACGTGGTATTTCAAACAGTTTGGCATGAATCTCCTCTCGCAGATTCTGCGCCTTGCGAAAGAGCTTATCGCCATTCAAAAAAAAGCTGCGCCGTGATTACAAGGCGCAACGGCGAATCCGATTTTCCTATAAAAAATGATTGGGGAGGGTGGGGAACGAGGGTCGTAAGTTCGCAAATCTCATAAAAACATATGACGTCGACGTAGTTAGGAATGTCAAGGCTTGCCTCAGTGGACATTATTTCGTCCCTGCGAGGGGAGCCGTGACTCTGGTTGTCTGGACTCGAAGCATAAGCCTAAGCCCTATTTCTGAACGGGGTCGTTTAGCACCACTATAAAGTCACTAGTCCTGGCGATCAAAATTGCTTAATAGTGGGGCTTAAGCACGATTGACAAGGTGGCACGTAACTCTGTAGCTAAGAAAAGACAGAAGAAACCGTTCAAAACGCGCAAGATAGGACCCTCCGCCTATATGGGCTTGTACGAGCATATAGCGAAGACATGCAGTGATTGGAATGTTCCCCTCCCATCTGAACCCCTCCCCCGACTTCACCGGAGGCTGGCAAGACAATGGCAGTCAGCCGCACGCGACGCGTCGTGCGGCCAGCGGCAAGATTCCACGGCGCGCTACACTGGGGTTTCTCCTTCCTTTCGACACACATAATATGGCCACGCAGCACAACTCGTCTGAGGCGCGCCGCATCGCACGCCCACTAGCGAAATTACAATTGTCTTGTCACATATCCTGAGTGTGTGAAGATCAGCGCAATAAAACGAGAAAATCGACATATTGAAACCTTCAAAAAGCGCTGTTTTCTAAAACTGTAAAAACTAGCCCAAGATGGCGTCCAGAGAGCTGATTTCAACAAGTGATTAGGAGTAGCGGATCCAGATTTTCAGAATGAAAGTCGGTGACAGTGTTAACTGTGACTATTCCTTCCAAATAAAACAGTCCAATAATATCACAACATCCTTAAATCGAAATTTCTTTGCTAACTGATACAGAAAATGAAGATTTTTCTCGGATGAGATAAATCATTGTTGTGAAACGTCGATATAGCATAGACTTAAACATGCTACTAAGACGAAGTGTACAATGGTAACGCTTCTAGACTTACCTTTCTTCGTATAAAACAGTTTTAACTCGGTAGATCATGCACAAGTTTACAATCTCTGTACATGCGATTCATAATCTACAACATAAGGACCTATCATTCGAGAAGAGCTGAGCGGACAATGAACTCCAACGAAACAGAACCATTCTGTAATTGCAGAAACAAACTTACATCGATGACTTGTGAGAAAATATCTTTTCTCTCTTCCACAGTTGAAAAATCCCAATCGATGTTTTTCAGACGTGGTGCTGCCAATCCATTCTCACCAATCAGCGACATAACCAGAAAGATGAGCTTACAGTTTGACCTGGATGGACACGGTAGTCCGCACTTCATCATCCTGGAAGAAATCATTGCAAGGGTGCAGGAGTTGAACTGAAGTGAAGAGCAAGGAGGGGGTGCAGATATAGCCCAGGTCCGCCTCCCTTTAGGTGCTGAGGGAGGAATATCATCTGAAGCGTTGAGGCGGATCACATAACACATGTGCTACATCAGCATTGAAGAAATCTCATTCAGGCTTTAATCTTCAAACACAAACGCACATCCAAAATGGCATCAAAAGATGCATCAAAGAAAGTCAGAGGTCTCAAAGGCGCAATTCGATTGGGGAAGGTACAAAATGGTACTCAGCCAAGCTTGTGCGGATAACAGTGTGTGAATTTCTGTTACCACACTGGCTCACTTACGCTATTTGCAGCTTCACAGAGTTTACAGGCTCGTCGACATGTGCTAGATATTAGGTCATCCCAATTCAAAAGTGCCGTGACATATAGAGGAATGGCAGAAAAGCAAAGGGGATAGGGAAGCGGGCTAGTATATGCACCACTTAAAGGCTAGTATCTTTAGCTGTGTATCTGTGAAATTTGGCGAACCTACCCACAGAGAAAGTTCTCAAGAAACTGAAAAGAACTGAGTGGTGAAAATCAGCGCCGGATTTTCAAATCAGACGTCATAAGAGGGAAGTGCGCTGCTCAAATTCGACCTGCGCCGGACCAGTAGTTGTGTGTAAGGGTGTTCTCGAAATGCAAGGTGGAAGGTTTGGTTCAGGAGCCCGAAGAAGGGAGAAAGGAAAAAATTTGTTGTCGTGGATGGTCCCATAATGTTCATCCTGCACAAGAAAAAAGGGTGGATGAAGTCAAGCGCTGAATGTCTGATCACAGAGCCTGGACCTTTGTCGAGCTTCCCCGCGAGTCTGACATCCCAGCTGCAACTGCTGCCGGCGCAGTTATGTCCGATAAACTGAGGATGGTCAAGAGGGTGTGCGCATGGGTAGCTAATTTTCCTGTAGAAGCACGAACGCAGTACCTATTCTGTGCCTCTAGCAGTAATGTTCTTACCAGGAAAGGTCAACAGGTCAGCCCGGCCATTTCCAATGAAGTGCACACCGTTGCACGAGTCTTGGGACGGTGAACTCAATCTTATACCTTTCACGATTTGACGGAACGATTCTCTGAACGGAGTTATGAAGAGTTTTTTCGCCTGCTTTGTTGCTTTACATGCTATCGCGAGGAAACGTGCAAGCGTCTTTACATATACGTACGGAGTCCACTTGAAACGTGGCAGTAGAAGCGCAGCGGATAGCGAGTAGGTTTACTGGGCGGCGAGACGCTGTAGGATCGGTTCTCGGCAGGGCGTTTATTTTTGCATTTGTCCAAGAACATGGCCGACAAAGCTTCTAACACCTCTGCTCACCTGCACTATCCTGTAAGGAAACTGCGACCAGTTTTTTTTCGAAAGTGTAGACCCATTGTGGCCTGGAAGAGTGCTTGTGCTTGCCCCCCCCTGTAGTACATGTCGCAAGGGTTTTTGCAATATAATACCATGATAATCGTGTTCAGCGGGTCAAATTACCTCTGGGAACAAGTTCCTAGCCGAATTTGATATTTCGACCTAACTTGGAAAATGTGAGTTATTCCATGGGTAATAAGCGGCAGTTACGAGCTCACCTACCATCGATGACTGGTCTCGGGATGGAATTCCTAACCGGTAATCAGAAAAATGATGCAGACGGCACAAATAAGTAAGCCAGGTACTGTTGTTTGCGAAAAGACATGACTTAAGAGTTATTTCAGTTCGAAGACCAGTCATCACCAGTGTGCTAGCGCGAGTATGCGCTTTGCTATCAGTTAGCCATGAATACATATCCCATTTTTTCGAGGTTGGAGTCAGAAACTCAGATTTCGCTAAAATGACGTCTCTAGGGGTTATTTGACCCCTGAACACAAATATGACACCTATTTTGCGCGAAGAGCGCTGCGAGTCGCACTACAGGTGCCAACGCTTCGGCGCCAGCGCGCTGGAAGAAGAAAAACGGTAAAAAAAACCTCCATAACTCCGCTCAGAGAATCGTTCCGCAAATTTTGAAGATAGTTTCGAGTTCACCGTGTCAAGATGAGTACAATGATGTGCATCTCATTGCATATGGCCGGGCTGACCTGTTGACCTTTCCTGGTTAGCATGAGATGTCATTCACGACTGTGAAAACGCACCCCGGCTCTAGATGAAATATGTGTGGTCTTGGACTCGAGCCAAAACCTCACAATGGTCAATTTTGTATGAAGGCAGATGAGAAGCCGCACCGAGTTCTACCATGAGGGGTTGCGTGGGCGCAAGTGGATGATCATCAACGAAAGGATCTACACAGAGGCTTTTAGGTGGTTCTATACAGATAATGAAAAATCGTTGCTGAACGGTGGTGACGTTATTGCCTGTATCTGCGGGCGATAGATCGACAATACGGATACCACCACTACAAGAGGCGACGTTGCTCGCATATGTGACAGACTTCGAGTATGTAAGGGCAGTGCTGGGACAAAAACAATACTGAGACCTGGGTTCAATCACCCCATTCGCCCGACATAAAGCCGAGCGATTCCAATTGTTCTCGTCAGTCGAGAGTACTCTCCGACGGCAAACGCTACAATGTTTTGTCATTCGCCGAAATTGGCATCAACAGCAATTTACTCGCACTTGTTGAAAAATCGAAGGTACCAGAGGTCCAAAGGCTTTCGGGGCACTGGGAGCGGGTCATTGGTGAAGGAGGGATTTACTTAACTTGAAGCCAAAATATTACTTTTTTATCTATTCTCTTCTTTGTTTTATTCGAATAAAACCGACGGCACTTTTGAATGGGATGACCTCATAGTTGGACTAGCGGAAAGGCAACATGTCCCTCTCCCTCCTCCTCAAGCAAAGCAGCTTTTTCCTTTTTCCTAACTATT